GAGAGAGAGAGAGATACGGCGGTGAGAGACACACGTACAAATATACACTGCCGCATAGACTGTTCGTTTCGTAATTTAATGCAAACTTATTAAGACTTACGACGACTAACCGGCCACGCTCCGCGTTCTGATTTCAGCATCTCAGCATTCCATCCATCCACGGAGCGGCCGGATTCACCTTCTGCCTCTCTAGCAACCACGACATCGAGGGTCCCCAGGGTGGCTTCGAGTGTATCCAACAGACCGGCCCTAAGTACGTATCGATTACCACGATATAACGAGAACTTGCCAAGTAATTTATGCATTACGCCGTACAACGTACACGCCACGGGACGCACCGTACGAGCGGCCGTGAGAACGAGAGAGATGCAGGGATCGAAATAAATAGCGGCGCATTAAGTTATTTTATTCACCAAATCATGCGAGTACCTCATTGTTATGGGAACGTTTCGGGATGTCTGCTACCTGAAAGAGCTTGAAAAATTCCCTGGAAAATTCCCTCTCCTGGGAATTTGTTTTCGTATCTTGAAGAGGATTCTCAGAGAATTTTATTGAAAACGAGGGAATTTTCTTGAAGCTGCTTTTTCTAATTTTTTATTTTTATATTATATAATCGAGAGTTTATTGAATTGTTAGATAACAGTGGATTCATTTACTTTGAACATTAGAGCACTTTGATTTTACAATTAGTCTAACATTCAGTATCAAAGATTTCGTGTTAGAAACAATTTTGTTTAATAAAAACGGATATTTATTTTAACAATTTTATAAAAGTTGAATTTTGTCGGTTGTACATTAGAGATAATTTTTTGCTTATAGGATTTGAAAATAAAGTTTGAAAATTTTATCCAAGTAAAATATTTGTTTTTTAAAAACTCTGTAATTTTTCTCAAAATTTTTCAAATTTAACTATCGAAACTCGAACGATTCTTTTATTTCATGATTATTTATAGATGAAAAGGAATATTAAAAATTTTGCGCAGTAGATATATTTGTAAAATACATTTAAAACTACTTTCATTTTTAAACTAGTTTCTGAAACTTTTAACAAAACTGCCTCGAGAAGCAGGACGTTTTCAAGGGACTTTTTTTCCAAGTTCGAGTTAGACACTCTGCTGTTACATTTTCGAGAGGCGAGAAAGATTCTATCTGTGTCACAGCGGCTATCAGATTCGCTATAACCGAGAAATAATGTCCCGGTGAATGGACTCGCGGTGCGCGATACGGTAATTTCGAGTAATCTTCCGTCGTAAGCGGCGTAACGTAATCCTCAATTTAAATCGAGCAAGGTAAAAACATTGGAGCATCCTTGAGCAGGTGGTTTTATCGCGGCAACTTGACACACTAAAGCGCCTGTTAGCGAAGCTAGCAGGTGTCGACCACCGGCGACTACACTCGTCGTGAACGGTTTATGCTTGCGTCAGCAAAACCGATTCAGTGGCACCGGCTACCAGTGCTTACCGCGTCCCGGCGATACGATCCGGTGATTTGACGAATTGACGTTAAAAACGTAACAGCGCGCCGATGATAAATTGAACTTCAATTCGCGCGCCGACTCACTTCTGCTCGCTTTGCTTTATTTCCCGAGCCGACAACGGGCCGCGGCGCGCTTCTATGCGCGCGGTACGCGTGTAAATATGACATAACGTGCCATAATACACGCATCAGTAATGACGTAAAAGCGTAATGACGACAACGGGAATAATACCTTTCGCAAAATCGCATCTTAATTCTATTTACCGCTGACTCCTCGCACTCCTGTTAAATTCTACGGAGAAAAGAACGCTTCGCTGAAGCGTCTAAAAATCTTGCCAGATCTGAAAATAATTTTAAATCGTCAAAATTATAATGATGATACTTGTAAAATATATGATACTCTGGTAACAAAGATTCCGACTTGAGTGTCCTACGTAACAATTTTCATGATCCAAAACATTATTTTCAGATCAATATTTTCAGATCTAGCCAAACTTTTACCTTCAGCAAATTCTTTCCGTAGCGACAGATTGCTGAAAGAATTGCTTCTTATCTCGATTCTTATCTCCTTTTTATCTTGTTATTACCTTCTTTTTTCTTTGCAGAAGCCTCGAGAGCCTCGGCGCCATACCGTACAAGATGCGGATACAGGCAAACGACGACGTTTACGAGACCACCAGGCATAGAATGGCGGTCGCCGAGGAGAATAACAAGAACAAATGGTAAGGATGTTCCCCTGAGCAGCAGGGACATACGATCGTCGGCGGCCGTTCGATCCTTCGGGTGAAGGGATCCTCTTCTTTTTGGAAAACCGCATCCCTTTTCTCCATTTTCAGGACTTTTCTTCGCGAGACGCTCGCGAAACCGTAAATAATGCTCGCGGCCCTACTTTTACAAACTTTCGCCCGTTAGGTACCGTAGGTCTCCTAACGGATGTTCACGCGATTCACGATGGAATTTATGAGAAATCTCGCCGTCTTCACGTACACGTCGCCGCGAGAATTCGCGGAGAGCCACGCGCGCAAGAGGATCTTCTGGTCGCGACGAATGTACCTCGGATGGCACATTCTTCTCTCGTCCGCATCTCGACGATTCTCGTTGCCTAAATCAAATGAAAATATCTGAGGATTTTAGCGGCGCACGTTTTCCAAATGTCCTACGGAAAGAACAGCTTTGCTGAAATATCTAAAAATTTGGCTGGATATAATCTGAAAATAATTTTTGTTGGGCCATTAAAATGATTGATTGCTAGAATATTAAAAATGTTTGTAATATATATTATCACCTTACTTACATGTTCTATACAGTTATTTTTACGTCCCAAAACTAAAACTATTTTCAAATCTGTATCCGGTGAAATTTTCAAATATATCATCAGAACTGTTCTTTCCGTGTGGGAAACACGGAGGCGAGCATCCGCGATTGTTTGACGAAACGAATGACTCATTCATTTTTCTGATGAGGCACGTTCAAAGAAATATTGATATTGTTAAAATTATTATCAGAAAATGCGAATGCGTTTCTTCAAATTTTCGCAAGCGATAGAAACGACGAAACAGAGATTATACTTTACAATTGTTAGCCGAGTATGCGTTGATTCAAGTGAGGCTTACGCTCTCGCCTGATGGATCTTCATCGTCGGCACGGCTGCTAATTTGTTTAATCGTCGTCACGGCCAAGGTTAAGAGCGCCTGACAAGTGCGATTTCGTCATGCCTGAACCCTTTTCCGCTCCTCTTCGCCGTTGCTTTATCGCGGCGCGCGCCGCTCGCGCTTACGCGCGATCTACGCCAAAGAAAATTGCATAATCAGACAATCGATCTGACTCCTGTGTCAATGATGCTGCAAGTTGCATTAATTGCGAGAATATATGGCGGAGGCTGAGTTTTGTATACACAAATGTTACATAGAGAATTTAAAAAAATCGCTATCTACAAATAGGCTATTTTCTTCGAATGAGGTGATGAGCTAAATTATTCTGTCATATTTTCTCTAAATTAATAAATGCTATATATTAGAAATATATAACATTTCTCTTCTACTTTCAAATATTTAAAATGCAATAAAATCTCGAAAGTGTTTATCTTTTTTTTTTTAGTTTAATTGTTCTTTTCCGATTTTTAGTATCATTAAATATTAATTAACAAACTAGAATCTCATACGTATTAGCATATATATTTTCAATTGACAGTTTATATCACTCTTTCAGCACGAGGGTGATCAAGGCGAATGGTCCAGATATCGGTCGCAAGGTGAAAGTGAAAGGAACCGGAAGGACAATACCTCCTCCGTCATCCTACGCAAGGCATCGGGAATCTACGACGAGCATTCCAACTTCCGGCAGTAGTCAGCCCAAAACCTCAACCAACAAGCCGGTCGCTAGTAATAATAGTAATAGTAATAGTAGTAACCATCTAACGGCAGCTCGCAATCCGGAGAAAAAAATTTCCGACATTATGCGCAGGCCACTTAAGTAAGTTTATTGACGAATTTATATAAAAACACGAGAATAAATCAGCTATAAATGATAAAGAAAGACAGAGAAAGTAAATAGCTATCTTCAGTGCTAGATTAATGAGACGGAACAAAATCAATTCTCAATGAAATACAAATTTATATAAAGAAATTTATTACAAATTAATATCTTTTGTTGCATTAGATTTAAATGCATTTCATATTTTTTTTATGTAACAGGGAAAGGCTTATCCATGTTCTTGCTTTGAGGCCCTACAAGAAACCCGAGCTTTATGATCGCATCACCAAAGGTGAGACAAAGTTCAAATGGTCCTTTTAGCTTCCAGTCAGAATATCCAGTTGACAATATTAATATTGCGACAAATTTACAGAGGGCTTAAGAGAACGAGAGCGACACGCTCTGACGACAGTTCTGAAGCAAGTGGCTTCCATACGTGACAACACGTATCATCTGCATAGGCACATCTGGAACGACGTGCAGGAGGATTGGCCTTTCTATACCGAGCAGGAAAAGGCAATACTGAGGAGGCGGAAACCTCAAAACCTTACGCCACCTGGCTCGAGTGATGGTGGTTCCAGCGGTACGTGTTTACTAGCTGTTGTTCAATATACCGTTTGCATATATGAATAGAAAACTTTTTAATTTTCTGCTCTATCATCTGTTTTATCAACATGTTCTTTGCATATTCCTACAGGCAGCGGTCAGTCACCCAATTCCATTCATGCGGGTTCACCACCGGCGATCACGGCACCTCCGCCCAACTTGATTGGTAATAAGAGACCGGGGTACTATCAGGGTAGCGACGGATTACCGACGAAGAAACCGCGGATATCGCATTATAGAAAACCCGAGCCCATTTCCTTCATCCCTGCCGGCGATAGAGTGTCTTGCAGCGGCAGTTATAGTAATAATAACAGTGGTGTTAGTGCAACCACCGGCGGTGATCGTGTAGTTGATCGCACCACCGGCGGTGACCGTGCCGTCGTCGATCGTACCACCGGCGTTAATAGTGGTTATGGTAGCGGCAATAGTGGCGGTGGTAGTAGTAATAATAATAGCGGCGGCAGCGGTTTCGACGGTTGGGAATCGAGACAGCAATCGCAGCGCGAACGCAGCGGCAGCAGCAGCAGCAGCCGTGTCGATTATCGGGCCGAAAGGACAGCAAACAGTGATGTACTGCGAGGGAACAGCTATAGTGACGCTGTCGCTGCTGCTACTATTCCCGCGGTTCCAATCAGTTCCAGTCGACCATTGTGCTTGACACCGTTGTCACCTAGTGATAGTGAAAGAAGCAACCCTCATCAGAACGGGCACGGACACGATGGTGGTGTCGTCAATGGAAGTACCGCGGGTAACTCGAACGACGTAAATGCCGACAGGAGAGACAGGAGCGATAGGAGTCGAGGGAGCGATAGGAGCGATAGGAGAGAAGAGAGGAACAGGGAGAGGGACTCCAGAAATAGGAGTAATATCACGAGTGATTTGGCTTTCTTCGGTGAAGCCTCAAATAGCGGTGCTTCTACTTATATCGATAACGCCAATGATCCTGCCGCGATCTCATTACCGACTGATGGGTTCGAAAGGTTGGAAAACAGCACGTATCCCGATTATCGCACGTGAGTATATTAGCTACACTCCGTTCATTATTATCAAATCATGAAGATAATTTCAAATAGCAATAAAAAAGTTATACACTTTTTTCGTAAGTTGTTACGAATTAGTTTAATACACTTATCGATCGATACATCAAACATTTATGCAAAATGATTGATATTTCTTCAGGTACTATACAACAATAAGCAATCCGGAACAGAAAAGACGTTACAAAGAAGAGTTCTACAGGAACTATGGCGAATATTGCAGGCTACACTCTGAAGTGCTCGTAACCGCGAATCGTTTCACGCATTTGTACTCATTATGGCAAGAGTATAAGGCATCGGGCAACACGACTGGAAGCGAGGTATTGTATTATAGATACGAACTTCAGAGCAATCGCGTTTGTCAAACAAACGGGTAAGAATATTCACAAAGTGTGGTTTTTCTTTTCCTTCAGGAAATCAGAGAACGAATATTTCGTGAGTACAAGGAGACTAAGCAGGATCGGGTATATCAGCAGATGAAGGAACGATTTGATTATCTGCACAATAAGCTGAGCCATATAAAACGACTGATCTTAGAGTATGACAGTGAGAACGTTGCCGATAGAATGTTGACTGCGGACAATGTTGATAGCGGTATGATTAGCACCACTAACTCTGTGAACAACGGTAACAACAACACCGGGGGTATCGATAATCGGCATTACTGACATAAACTGAAACGACCGCCTCTTGTCTCCCTCCTTTTTCTCGGCACTATCAAAAATAGTGCTGTAAAATCTGCATTTTCTCGGCAAGTTCTAAGGCTGATTTTTCACGGTCCACATGGTTCCTGTGTTCTATCGCTGGAAAGTCAAGTGACTCCAAATGGCTTGAGGTTGCAAGATCACGTGTACAATATTTATCATGAGGCAACTTGCAACAATGATAAATCGTACGCAAGATATCTTTCCTGTAAATCCTCCCCACATCTCCGTCGC